CTGCAGTTGGTGTAGTACACAAGGGCAAAGACAGGAGTGCCAGGTCAACAATTATGGTGCTGAATGCCTTAAGGGAGGGAAGCCAGACAATTTCCTCCGGCTCTGCCAATGGACCCTTTCCCATGAACCTGAAGCGACCTCCAATGACTAAGCAAAAGGTATAAGTGACCTACGAAATTGCTGCATGCACTCCCGAGTCACAACCCTAGATAAACAGCTGCATAAATCAGTAGTAATTTGACCGCAATAGCAATGGTGGTTCTTGTTTAACTGATGTGTTCTCTAAATGATGCTTGTTTCCAAGCAACATGAGCACTGATGTGTTGTATCTACAATGGCCCAGGATCCAGTTTCTGCATCCAGAACAGATGTTAAGTAATCACCCATAAAAAGCATTTTCAATCCATTGCATTTTAAGAGACACATGCTATGCTCTGCATGGCTGTTACAGGTGCTGAGTCTCATGTAATTGGTTTCACATCAACATGTCATTTCTGATGCTAAGCTAACTTTAAGGATCTGCAAATTTGACTATCAATGTCACTATGATGGACTCCTAAAAGGCTTGGTCTCAGGTAAACAGAAACATGTGTAGCAGTCCTCCTCAATAACAGTCCAATATGTGAGGTGTTTCCACATCCTGGTATAAGATCTTCATCATGGATTGGTTTAATGCACTTGAGCCATGGATCAAGCCATCAGCCAGCAAAGTGTCACTTAAATTCAGTTTCAAGTGCTTTTGTGTTCAATCGCTTGCAATTTTAAAACTTTGGTCTGTAAGGTCACGACAGTGTTAATCAATTGTTAGTGCTATTCCAATGTTTACTGGCTGATCTGATTTACGTGAGACAATACTCCCATTGATTTCTTAAGGGGCTATGAGGTTTTTTAGTGCCTTAAAGAGGGGGCAATAATTGCATGAGCATTTTTTGTGGAGGGTCAAGCAATAAAAGAACCATTTCAGATCAGAACAAGACTAAACGCGTCAATTTACTTAATTAGAACTGCTTGTCAGGAGGTCAAACAGCTTCAGAAACCCTCTCCCTCTACACCCTTAAACTGCCATTGATAGAGCTGTGTCTGGCTGTAACTTTCAATAATCAGCCATTCAAACCTTTTCCATGCTGACAGCCAGCTTTGTGGAGGTGAGAAAGATTCAGGACTTGAACTTTTTGATTTCTGGTACTTTCTGTTTCTTTTTTGGCAAAACGTGCCCAATTGTCCACAGTGGTATATAGGCCACAAATAATTAAAATATCACAGCAACCTAATATGTGTTATTGATATGCAGGCCAAAAGTTGACAATTTTCACCATCTTTTAAAAAGTTAGCATCAATACACTGTCATCAGCAACAGTCCAGCAGGGGATGATGCATATGTCATTAAAGATTTTTAGGCTTTTAGTCACAAATCCAAATATTGGACATATTTTGACCAGATTAGGGGCTACATGTGAATTTAAGGGATTTATAAAGCCTTTACATGAAAAAAAAACTTATATATAAACACTAGCTATTACAGACTTTATACAAAAGGCTGTCCCGTCCATGTAAACATGATGTAAACACGGCTCTGACAACAATACAGCTGGCGGGACTCGCGCTTCTCACTCATTGTAGAAGGTCATGACTCAGAGAGACATTTACAGAGGATATACTTGATTTCTGCTGAACTTATGTGGAAAATGTTGCACGTTCTTCATTTAAGTTGACCAGGTTTTTGTAGCATTTTGTAACCCTTACTTAACCCCGTACCTTATTCATATTCCTTAGATTTGTTTCTATTCGTTTATTCAACCACCTGTAGTACAGAGAATGTCCTTGTATATTTTTATATCAATCAGCCAAATGGTTTTGAGATATTTCAGCATTGTTGGAGTAACCAACAGACCAACATTGCCATCACTGGAGCCATGCAACCACCATGGCTGCAAACTGGGCACAGAAAACAAGCACGGGTCAGAAAATGAAAACACAAACTCTGCAGATGTCTTCCATCAACTATCTAACACCAACTTAGACACATATTTGGCTTTTACTGCAAATTCCAGCTGTTGAAAGAGCTTATCTCTCAGCTTGAGTCATATTTGGGGTTTTTGGGCTTTTGCATGCTGAGAAAGTGAGTGACCAGACATCCAAATGCCCACGGGGCCTCGCACTTCATGCCAGTGATGAGTGAGGCGCCGGACTCCTTATTTATTTGGACTTTACTGCAGAGAGCTTCCCACATGGAGCAGAAACAACGGTGGAGTCCTCTCTCATCCAGCTGATAGAACGAGATACTCAAAGACAGACACTGCGGGGTCCACTCCTCTGAGTCCTGAGGTTTGTATCCTGAGATCAGCGCTGAGAAAATACTGGGATACTTTTGGCTAAAACAACTCGACCTCTTTAAGTGGGTGACTAGAATAATACCAAGAGTTGAGAGTCAGATTTCTGGGATGATCTGATCAAGCGGAGGTATGCGAACAGAAAACACTAAGCTAAAAGCAAAATCAACACTCAGCACCTAAGACACACAGTAAGCCAAAGATCATTGGGCTCTAGAACTCAGCTTTACGAGAGAGAGAAAACGATTCACTGCTTTCATATGTGGTTCCTTTGACTGAGAACATTTTCAACAGCCAATTAGGCTTCAACAAAAACAAGGAAATTAAGAGGAGACGAATCATACAGTGATTCACAATCCATTCATTCATTTATTGAGATGTATCCTATATCGGCAAAGTTACACAGATATGACGTTTTTTGTAGAAGAATTTCTGTAGCTGTGTAATAAAAATGTTTTGGAAGCACCATAATTCAAACCAGAGCCGGAGCGTGACAGGAAGATGGTAGAAGAAGGCTCGAGGTGATATCTTAAAGCTCCACCACTGCAGCTGCTGTGTAAATTATATCCTCTCCCCGTGAAATGACAATGACTTCTGAGCTGGCAGGTCCACAATCCTCTCTGCTGCAAATCTTCCCCTCAGATCATAATAATGAGAAGCCAGGGCTCTCATCATGCTTGCATCAGACTGTAACTCGAGGGGTCTTTATAAGGTCATACATTTGTAATTTGATGAAACAATTGAGGGGTTAAGAGGGTTAAAAAAACTCTGCCAAGTATTAAAAATAGAAATCAATTAATCATTTAAAACCACACATTAAAAACAGCTTCTATTAATCAACTTTTTCAGATTTCAAAAGCAAAAATAAATGTGTTCAAGGCCCATATTTTCAATCTTGTGTCAATGTTTTGCATTCATTAGAGGTAAAAAAAAAAAAACAGACTGAAAAGAAAACCTTCAACAAGTCAATAACATGATTCCACCTCCATCTTCTTTTTAAAAAATAATTAATGATATAACTTTTCTATTTTAGTTCAGTCTGAGGTGCAAAAAGCGGCAGCATTGAGTCTGAACACGGCCTCTGTCTCTCACCTATCTGCCTTAATGTCCCACTTCATCTCTCAGGTACACAATGTGAGGCTGGAGTTGATAAATGTGTGTCCCTTGTATGAAGCCGATGCCTCCAGGATAGGTCTGAGACATTGTGCCTCTATATTGGGTTCCCAGAAATAATCAAAGACAGACTGAGGCAGTGTTTGCTTTATCCAACAGGCCTGCAAAGAAGTCTTTCAACAGATTATTTGCACTAATAGGGACATCAGCTTCCCACATCACATATTGTGGATTGATGAGAAATGCTTATGTTAGTTTTTGCATGAATTGAAGCGTTGAAAAAAAAATTGGATAGAGCCTTGAAAGGGAGAAATAAACAGGTGAAAAACAAGTGCTAGTGGCTTTTCTCCTCATTAGCACCATTTGTCTCAAGTTGTACAACTTGAAACAGAGGGCTATTATTCCCTCTTGAATGTATTCAAGTCTTCTTTTTCTCTCTGGACCACTATCTGTCTGTTCCAACAAATGTATGTGACCCACCCAACATTGGAGCGAGAGCTATCCCTCCCCCTGGAAGACATAATTCGAGTAGCCATATGTTGACTGACCCTCACAACAGTCTTCCCTGTTCTTTATGAACAGCTGTTCCGCAGAATCAATGATGAACATCTCAAATATACATATTGAATCACTGGGACAAAATGAAAACAACATAAGCTATACTCCCAGCCAGTACAGTCACTCACAGGGTCTTGCTTTGAGTATCTAATATAAAATAGTGCATGATAACAATGCGTATAAGATATTTCTCCTACTTTTAATACAACAGACACTCTTCAAAAAAAAGTTGCAAATTACATTTTTCCACCTTACACTGCGTTTATAAAAAATAAGATTACATAAAAAGACCACTCACACTGAGAGATATGAAGAGATCTGGCCCCCACCCAACTCCCCCTCCTTCTCCCCCTCCACATGTCAGTTCAGTGTAGATTACTCAGCTCTCCTCCCATTATGCCTCCTCCTAAATCTGACCTACATACTATACATAAATTGTGATATAAAGACACTCAATCTGTTTCCTTTTTTTCCCCGCACCTGATAGCATCATCAATAAACAGCTGCATCTTTACAAAAGACAACAACAGCATGCCTCCCCCTAGTGCCTATCTGCATAAAGACTAAAGACCTCTCACTCAGATCCTTATTCATTCAGTCCAATAGTGAGAAACCTACACTTGTAATAATTGAGGGATAAGTGGTGCGTTCAAAGCTCTACTAAATCCATTAAAAAAGAGTATGTGCACTGCAAAAAAAATAGGGACGTAAAGTAGAAAGTTACGTGGAAGAACATGTTTTTTTATGTTAAATATGATCCTACCAAAACAATGTTCTATTCGCCACATTCACAGTTAATAACATGACAAAGTCAAAGTTAACAAACTACCTGCCAACAGTTTAAAACTCAACCCAGCACAAATAAAACCTGAGGCTAAAAAAAAGTTCATTCAACCTCATTATTTACTGAAAGTTTGTGTCCACATTCACCCCAACCTTTCCCTTCAAAAAAAGTTTTGCGCTCTAAACTCTCAGAGTGAAAAACAGAAGTCTCCTCACCTGATGCATACGCTATTCCAATCCAAGTCCGACAGAAAAACGTGAAATCTGTCTTCATCTCCAGATCTCCGGTCCAGAAGCGCACAAGCCTCGTTAGTTTCAAAGCTGGAGGAGACAGTAGAGAGGTGGCTGGAGGTTAAGTCCGTGAATGGGGAAAATACTCAGGTGAACCTCGGCCAATCGATGCCTGACTACACTCTGCACAGAGACCACAGATCCGAAACGAGAGGGGGGGAAAAGGAGAGAAAAAAAATGTGTTTTTTCACCCCTCGTTTGTCTAAAGGATGCACAAGGCACTGAATGGGATTTACAATGATTTCCCTTTCCTTTGCTCGTGACTGGAGCGCATGCACACCCACCCATCCAGTTCATAAAACAAGCTGAATCGGACGACTGTGTGTGTGCGTGTGTGTGTGTGTGTGTGCGTGTGTGTAGGGGGGGGGGGGGGGGGTCTGTCCCTAAAACATCCATGACAAATTTCCTTCCTGTACGATCCTAGTCGTCTTACCTCTGTGTTAAAGACCTACAGTGATCACATTATAGCTTACAGGATAATAAAGAGCTTTATTATGATATAGCACATATAAGGCTGGCACAATTGCACACAGTATAACACAATTTTCAACTCTATGAAGAAAACATTGAATGCTATTTTCCAGTTGTGGATTTCCTTTTGTTGCACAGCAAAAATGTTTCATATTGATCTTTATTTTTTTTTAGGCATCCCTCCTGCATCCAAATAGCTCAGCAGGTATTCCAGAAATGAAGAAAAAGCCCCAGCAGAAAAGATGCAAAGACACCAAGTAAAAACATATCCCAGCATCTGGAGTAGTATTACATGGTAAGTCCTCTTTTGTTCACTTTTAATCAATGCAGTCATATATCTCATCCATTAACTCTTTTGACAAAAGAGACAAAAAAGTAAACACAGTCCTATCTGTTCTGGCCAAAGGTCTGCTGTCAATTTAATGTAGAAAGAGTTATCTTTTGAACATAAATTCTTTCAGGAGTTCACCAAATCAAAGCTGGCAGGAGAGCCTTGGGAGTAACTCTAATAAAATTGTAATCATTTTTCCAGAGTGGTCAGATGTAATGATGCCTCAGCTGAAACTGACCTGCAAAGGCCTGTCCAAGTCCTGTTAACCTCCCCTCCGCCCACACATCTATCGCCCTCGGGGAGTCTTCAGACCCAGAGTGTGAATGAAAATCATGTACTGAGAGAAAAACATACCCAAAGTGAGCCGTGTACTATCTCAAAAGGGGGATTTTAGAAAATTGAAAACCTGTGTACCATAAACTCTCAAGTATAAAGAAGTCAGAGGGCATGAGAGGTGCACCCACGCACAAAATGATAGAGTGTTGGGTGCAATAAGGAGCTTTATTCATGAACCATGTGTTGTAGCAGCAGCAGCATTGAGATCAAAATACTCTTAAGGAGCCACAGAAGAACCAGGGAGCCCATTTCAGGCAGTTTAATCAATCCCAGACAGCCTTTTTCAGCACCGTGAGTGTGCTGTATGTATCTCAACTTGGAAATCCATTACATGCATAATAACACCTCAGAACCATCCAGCACCAGTTCATACATCACACAGCAGCTGTCAATAAGATGTATGAAGACAAATATTTAGTCTTGATTTGATTATGTTACTCTGTATTATTTTAAACCGAGGAGAACCGGACATCACAAGTGTGAAATAACAGGAACTCAAAGGATCATTTGGTGTTATTTTGGGCATGTGTCACCCCCCAGATCCCTTACTAAAATGCACCTCTCTGACCTTAAAACACAGTGTTATGATTGAATGGTTGTAATTAAAATGTTCTCAGCCCAGCAGCGCCTTTTCTTTCATTAGAAAATAAACACAGTCAATTGTTGATAGTCTAACTAAACTATGTCCAGGGAGTGACCAAATCTCATCACCAATTTATAACAGATAATGTCATAAAAACACTTGAATGGCCAATGTAATAATAAACCGCAGACACAAGCATACAGACGGCAGTGAAAGCAAATAACAGCCCTCATGCAGGACAGCATGATGGCCCCTGTTGTGTCAGATGAAAAGCTTTGACTTTGTAATCCTGTCGGCTCCTGAGAGACAACTGAGAACTCAAGGACCTGTCCTTGAAGTGCCAGCACACTATCCGGCCCATCCTCGGGTCAGGAAACACATTACGGACATACAGCTACGATCATAGGAAGGATATGTAGAGCGAGTATGCAAGCCCACTCTGTCTTGCTGAAGTTCATGCCCATGGGCCCATTCACTCTGTTGCACTCTGCCAGAGCACTTTGAAGTAGCTGTCACAGTTCGAAAGGGTTTTTGTGTTTTGTTTTGATTGAGGTTGCCAAATTTTCTCACCCGTTGTAGGTCATGTTCACTATAAGGCTCCCTGACAAAGAACAAGGAGCAGTGCTGCTGCAACTGGCCTGTAGATGCTTTAGCTACTAATTCATTTACCATGAAGATAATCTATTTAATAAATGTAACAGGCTGCAAAAAATGTTTTACTAAAAGTACTTTATGTCAACTGACAAATTCATATTCTAAGTATATGTTAACCTGATCAAACTGCAGGGCAGCAAAAAAATGATCAACTACGAGACTGAAATATCACCACATTGAAGACAATACTTAGATATTGTTGCATCCCCATGCATGCACCGACCGTTGAAGCCATTTTCACATGATGCCATTGAGCCCACAAATACTTTTTCCCAGAAGTTAACATTCTGAAAGCGACATATATTAATAAGAGGAAACATTTTTTTTCCAAGGTACTTCAACTTCCCAATAAGATAACTTAAAAAAAAAACCTTTCTAAAATCATTAGGTCCTAAAAGTTGTAAAATGCAATTACAGCCAAATTGAGAGATGTTTTGGAGACATAATGAATGCATATCAGAGAAACAGGACTGCAACTCCAAGTGTGCATGCTCCATGGGCCCAGTGACGAGGAAGATCTGAGTAATTTTACACACGGAAGTCAGACTTTTTTTTTGCTTTATGCGCCACGGAACAGCTTTCATAGGAATGAACTTGGCTCCGCCTCAAATGCCGCTATCTATTCTACAATGCATGCAGGATAAAGAAATATGTTATGTAGTTACATTACTCAGCTATGTCTTGGAGTTTAGTTACAGAGGTTTTGAGTTCATTATTTTCGTTACATTACGGAATCTCTAAGCAGAGTCATCAGAAGGTGACCACGTTCCGTTACAGAGTTCATTTACAGACCTAAGTTACAGAGTTAAAGCTCTTGTGAGAAACCTTCTTTTTGTGTTGATTTGGTGACCTTTGTGGACAAAGCCGCGCCTCTTATCTCCTTACTGTTTCTGTCCTGTATATGTGTAGGCCTAAGTTATGTTTACTGATTCGGCAGCAAGCAGTTAAGTCTGACAGCTGCCCTGCTGCAGCAGCTTCAGGCATTAAAAATGATTATGTGGAAATAATCAGTCTTGTTTATTATGGTCCTGTTCACTTATGTTGCTCATAAAGACGCATCAATGTTATATTCAGTCATAACCAGCACAAAACTTCTCTGTTTTTAAGCTTCTGAGTTACGTTACAGTGATCCGTTAGCGAGTTATATCAGAGAGCCACATAACAGTGTTGTGTTTGGGAGCTGAGTCATGAAGCTACGTCAACATTACAGCATTAGGTTAAGGGAGTTATGTCATGGAGCTATGTTACAGAGATACAGTGTTTCATTTAGTCAGATTAATATAAGTCCAATGCTCACTTTTCTTTTAACTTTAATTTGGCTGCCAATGACTTCTAAGTCGAAAAAACATTCGGCTCTTTGGCTGATAATATTATATACGCCATGTTCACCAACAAGTGGTTCAATTTGTCAGCTGTTAATTGGAGCATTTTTTTCTGCAAGTGAAAGTTACCATTTGTTAAAAAACAAAGCTGTTGAAAGAGGTAAGTGTGAACTAAGCACGTACATCTTTTGGCTACAAAACACTAAAATACTCATTTATGCTGAGTGGTTCAGCAATGTCAGGTAATAATTGCGTTTGGGTTCATTGAGGAACCTTTTTAAAATAACCTTTTGTATTTCAGAACTTTTTCTATAAAATGGACTGATATATGCAGCTTAAATTTGAATTCCTCTTACGAGACCACGCACAACAATAGAGTTTAAAACAAAAATGCTACCAAGAGGCTCAAAATATTTGTCTGGAGAGAACATGAGGTCGAAAAAGAGCAACGTAGCGTACACATCAAGGCTCTTCTCATAATCTCCTCATATTTCTGTGTCAGACTGTATGAATTGATTTATTATTTAATAATGTACTGAAGAGCACAATTTAGTTTTCATTTCTCCGTTTAATGCAATCCCCACTCAGACCTCTACTGTATTAAACTTCATGGTAAAATACTATACTATAATAGTACAACCTTTTATCCCAATGCAGCCGACTTTTTTGGTAACTCATTTTTAGCTCCAGTTGGTTAAGGAAAAGTGTGAAATTTTCACGGATACCTCTATGTGTTCAACAAAAGTAAAAAGGGCCATCGGTCATGAGATTGATAATGAACTTATCGTTATTTTTAATGCCTATAAGCTTGGTATGTGTCAGACACTGAATTACAGCAGCCTTTTGAAAAATGTTCCACAGCTAAAATTGTCGATAAGCCATTCTTTGACAATAAAGCCTGATAAGACTTTTTTTGTAAAAACAATACTTAACAGTACGAATGTTAAAGAAAATACACAAAATCAGCAAAGCAATAATAAGAAGCTTTGTCCATGGGGGGGCTAAAATTGACACAATCCTAAAATTCTTCACGAGCTTAATTATAATCACAATAATTCATACTGTTAAGTAGAAACCATGTACCTCCAGAGTTGATGATCTTATTTGTTCCTATTTGAACATTTCTGATCATCTAACTGATAAAGTTTGTATTAACAGGTAGAGAAATCTTTTCTCCATTATATTTACTTTCACTTTTGATAACAGGTTAACTTTGCAGATCACATTAACTTATTAAAGGTTACAAAATGCATGACTATGCATTGTAAAAGCTCTAAATACTTCCCCACTCTGACATTTAAGGCACACGGAGGCTTTCAATTGGAAGAGATTGGTTTTTTTTTTTTTAAATCTGAATTTATAGGTCAGCGTTTTTCTTGGTGTTTCCTAAACACACTGTTTCCATGTAGTCGCTGTAAAGGGGAAATGCATGAGCCCCCCATCTGTGCCACTTTTCCAATCTGCAGAGGAGGCAGCAGCAGCATCCTGCTTTCTGTGCCCCTGAGGCTGGTCCAGCAGCCAAGAGGCATCCCTACTGTCACTGTGTTTATGTGACCTTTCACCTGGCAGGAGGAAACAGGATGTGGGTGCTGTTGTGTGTGTGCGCAAAGATAACCAGGAGCCCGCCTTTTCTGGCTGTTTCAGTGTCAGAGATGGCTCGTGTTCTTAGCTGTGTGTTCTGCTTTGATGATGCTTAATAACATCCTTGATTATTTCAAGAGAGGTCATGGAAGTGTGCACAGTCCCAGCTGCAGAGTAAGATCAAAGACACAGAGTTTGTTTAAAAGAAAAAGTGATTTGGTTTATTTAATGAATCAGCAGGTTGAACATGTTTTTTTGGTTTTTAATCAGGAAAAGACTGACATGCATAAAAACAATGTCAAATATAATGCAAGACTGAAAACGTCAAAGAACTACGTTTAAGATGTTTCATAAAGTGATAAAACATTAAAAATGAAAGAGCAAGATATTCTCTGTTCAAAGTAAGGCACATGTTCTTAATGTAAATGATTCTAAACACTAAAAAACCCCACAAAGTGCTGCAGGTTTTCTAAAGAATTCATAAGGTGCTCCAAAGTTACATCTTTTTTTTTTAAGCCCAGTCAGAAACATAAAGTAAAATGCACAAACATTCAGACTTTTTTTTTTTAAAACATGAAGAACCCTAAAAATGTTTTTTATGCTGATCGAACTGATTGAAAGTCATTTTTTTCAAGCGAGCAAAAGGCCAGTTTGACTTGAGAGATAATTATTCAGAAGATTATCGAAAGCTCAAAGCTATTTACTTTAGAAATTTGGTTGAACAGTGAAGAACAATTTGTATGTGTAATTTCATGCTTCAAGTTGACTATTTGCTTTAGATATTTCTCTGCAGATTAATTTTGCAAAATGAATGAAACTCTTACCCAATGATTACAGAATATCTTTTCTCAGAAAGATTCCATATCAATTTCAGAACATTTCATGGATTTTGAAGTCCATTTCAGAAAAAAAAAAAAAATTACAGCATCTGACAGTTTACTATCACTACAGCATGGAAAATAAGAGAACAGTCTGAAAGATTAAAGTCAGAATACCAACAACAGCAGCTCTTTCTTAGAGAGAAATGTCACTGTTCAACAAGTGAATGGACAGCTCTAACATACCGGAAAGATTTCATCGATCGGACCTGTGTGTCAGCCGGACAGAGCGACAGGTGGATAGTGGATGAGTTTGATTGGCTGAGGTTTCTGACAGTTGTCGCTGATGCAAGGGCTGAAGAAGGGGAACACCTTACCCCTGGGTCCGTTGGTGAACGAGTACAGCAGACTCATGTCGTCGGCGTTGTAGAAGGACACCCTCCTCTCCTCGCAGTCTAAGAAAACGCCGACCCTCTTCGGGGAACATCCCAGCTGCAGCCTGGACCAGGGCTGCGTGCCGGCTGAGTACTCGTTTCCGTTGCGGACTCGCAACGTCCAGTAACCGCTCTCAGGGCTGAGCTTGATCCTGGAATGACGGTCTACGGCTTCAGAGGCCACGCCCAGGTCCCACTTGGTTTTGGTGCCCACTTCTATCTCCCAGTAGTGTCGGCCTGACTGGAAACCCTGAGCAGCTAGGACATTGATGCACTGGAGGAAGCGTTTGTTGTGGCCCATGTGTGGGATCACAGCTTCACATTCTACCACCACAGTTTTGTCCCTGGAGACGTAAATGCTTGGGTGCGCTGTGTCAACATCAAACGTTAATGGAGAAGGACCTTTGGGGGTGAGACAATTCATTCAATAATTATAGTGGCACAATTTTCTTTAATATCATTCAACAAAGTGCACCATTTTAAATTGAAAAGCTATCAATCAGTGGAACAAACCTGTCGCCAATGATAATGTTACAACTTCTATATCTTTATGCTCTGGTAATTATTCTGTAATTACCCCCTTTGTTGGGGCAGAACCAATTGTCAGTTCTCGTCTGAATGTGTTTAATTAATCACGTGAGAGGGGAAATTACCCGGCTTCAAAGACTTGAACATTTTTCTCCATGTGATGTACTGCATAGGGGCCATGTACTTGCTGCAGAAGGCATTTATATCAAACTCTGGAGCAATATCCGCCCGAACACATGGTCTGTCGAAAGAAGGCAAACAAACTCTCAGTTATCAGGATTTATTTGTTTAACAAATGACACTAAATGACAGAAATCAAATAAGCACAGATGCAAAATGCTAAAAGCACTGAATCATCTGAAACAGTGAAAAGAACACTAACCTCAGCTGTGGGAGCTGGAGGGAAGGAAATGAAAGGAGAATCTGATTAACAACAATTTGATGCAAATCTCACAAGTGAAATGTGGTGACATTCTTGGATTTATTTTAGGTTGAGATGCAATTTATGCTTTTAAATCTCGACAGCAACCTTGAGGCATTAACCTTTCCAACAAAGTTTGATTAACATCTAAACTTTATTTTCTAGCTGAGTCCTCACCTCTGTCACTACAACGTTCTCAGTGTCAGCACTGGCCTGCTGCAGCACTCTCATATTTTCCTCAAGCTCTCTCAGAGCCAGCTCGATGGCCTCCAGGTGGTGTTGGACTTTCTCCAGCTCCTCCTCCTGCTCTCTCCTCAGCTGCTCCAGCACACAGGTCTCCTCGTCCTGCAGGATCTGATGCAGAGCTCTGAATTCTCCTTTGACTCGAGCCTGCAGATCCGCTCCAAGTTTCTGTGTCAAAGAAAAACGACTGAATTCACAGGTAGAGGACATAATGTAACATGCTGCTTCCTTCATTTTAGCACATTTTTCTTTTACCAAGTGGAAAAAGTAGATTCACCTAAGATGTTGCCAAGTTGAAAAAGTTGAGTTTAAAGCTTTAAATATGTTGCAACTCTGAACTGCAAAAGTATAAATCTCTGGAGTCTGACTTACTACAAATGATGAAGCTGCACCTTTAAGCCATGTGTCAAACAAAAACATTGAAGCAGGGAAGGTTTAACCATTCAACATCACTGCACAGCATGCTCAAAGACAATCAAGCGTTGATCTTGTGTTAGTCTCACATTCATTAGATGGATTCCTGAATCCATCAGTTTGATTTTTTTGGGGGGCTTTTTGTGCCTTTATTTGAGGGATAGGACAGTGGATAGAGTCGGAAAACAGGGAGAGAGAGAGAGTTGGGAATGACATGCAGGGAAGGAGCCACAGGCTGGATTCCCGCCCGCTTGAAGGACTAGTGTACATACATGGGGCGCGGCCCTAACCTCTGCCCCACTGTCACTTTAATTTTTACATGGAATTATGGAGCCTTGGCAATGTTTTTAAGCCACTTAGAGTAGAATAATAATTTGTTCAATGGACCAGATCTTTCTGCATCAGCAAAAATGACAAATGTTATGTAGTATTATGGCTGTACAGCAGAGATGTTTTGCATAGTCTACACAATGGAGTCAGAGGTTAGGAAGTCATTTATGCACCCAAGCGTAGAGTCTATAATCATTTACATATCAAAGCACAAACTGTCATTTACAACATCTGCAAACACCAAACATCCACAGCAGCATATTGTGAACAGCCATTAGGGAGGGATGTGTGCATTCTTATCTGCTAAGTGCCACCATCCCACAACTTCCCCAGAGGAGTGTACCTTTATGGTTTCCATCTTGTCTTTGTCTCTGCGAATACTGTTGACGAAGTCATCCTTCCTCAGGCGGTGGTTCTCCAAAGTCTCCTTCAGTTGTTTCTGTTCGGTGTAATGCAACTCAAATCAGGGTGGGAACAGAAACAATAACTCGTAGAGAGATTGTGAAGAGAATCAGGGGACTTTATAGCTTTATGTGTAATAAATACTACAACCTTTAGATCGGTGATATTCTTCCAGTTTTGAGACAACATTCCTTAGTTTGTAACAGAGAACTTTGGATTGGACTTTATATTGTTCAATACAATTTTTTTTAAAGATATCTTTATTGTTATGTGCCATACGCACTGGACATATTGAAAAATCAAAACAATTGTTTCTCCCCCAAGCCACAGGCCAAACTGCTATAATACAAAAATATTTAAAAAAAAATAGCAAATAAAAATCTAAATACAGATAAACAAAAGTAGTAGATAATGTGCAAAAATATATGCAAACAACAACAAATGTGCATAGACTTGAACTTGATGTAAATGTATATAAGGCACTAGCTAGACAAAAGATGGTGCTCCAGTGTATTATTGCTGATAATAAGTGGGAAAGCAAAGGTTAAAAAGTGACATCAGTGTTAAATGTCTGCTGCTTATTTTGGTTTTCCTGTTGAGGTGGGGAGAGGGGAAGAGAAACAGAGAGAGAGAGAGAGAGAGAGAGAGAGAGAGAGAGAGAGAGAGAGAGAGAGAGAGAGACACACCGAGAAGTGCTGCATAATAGGTGGTGGAGGTTTTTGAAGTCCAGGGTTTAGTGTGTGTGTGTGTGTGTGTGTGTGTGTGTGTGTGTGTGTGTGTGTGTGTGTGTGTGTGTGTGTGTGTGTGTGTGTGTGTGTGTGTGTGTGTGTGTGTGTGTGTGGGGGGGGGGTGACGTTTCCTTAATGTGAAATATACTTGATGATTTAATTGAATTGAATATACTCCAACAGGAGGTTAAAAAATAGTGTTTGACATTTGGGTAACAACACCTGAAGTCACCATGAGGTAAACAGTAAACTAGCAGAGCCTGACTAGAAGGGAAACATGAAACACAAAACCACTTTAAACTGCCAACACTTTACAAAAACAGAAAATGAAACATAACCTGTAACTTAATCAACCTAATGGGTTTTTATAACCTTTGGACAGAGCCCAGCTAGCCATTTCCCTTTGTTTCCATTATTTATGCTGAGCTAACCTGCTCCTGGCTTTAGCCTTGTATTCACAGTAGAGCGGGATATCGATCGTCTTATCTTATTTTCTGAAAGTTGTTGATTTAACATATTTCCCAAAGAAAATGAAAAACAATCTCACCTCACAATAGTGACAAAGGCAGGATTAATTACAGGAGTTTTCGATTGAATTCTATTGATAAGAACAGTGTTTTTCATTATTCTGGCAGAGTGTTCTGTTTTCATTGCTCAGTCATAAAATGCTGTCATATTACAAAAAGGGAGTGGATAGTGAACTTTGCCTTGGGCAATTTAAGCGACATATGTTCAGGGTGTAACTAAAGTTCATACACACAGATATGGACTGAAAAACACACAATGTTTGTATTCAATACATGTAAAAAAATATATATTCAATAACTCATAAGGTTACAGGATGATCATTTTATTGATTCAAGTAAATCAAAATAAGTCTGAGGCTGAACTCACCTCCAGGTTCTTGAGGTAGGTGTCCGAGGTGGTGGCCCTGACTTTCTCCACCATGGCTGTCACAAGGTAGTTGGTTTGAAACTGTTTGCAGCTGAACTCCTTGCGGCACTGTGGACAGGTGACGGGTCCCTGGGTTCCCCTCCAGTATCTGGAGATACAGGGTTTGCAGAAGTGATGCATGCAGGCCAACATGACAGGGTCCCTGAACAGGTCGCAGCAGATGGCACACGTCAAGTCCTCCTTCAGGCTGCCTTTGGAAGACGCAGCAGCATTCGCGGCAGCAGCCATCGTTGAGGGGAGTTTCCTCTCCGAAGTGTGTGCACACTGACGAAGAGAAAGCAAAGGCCTGGAGGCAGACAGGGACAGAGAGAAATCAACACAGACACTATGCTACAGATTTGTTCAGAAAGTACAACAAAGACACAAGTTTACACTCTAGCAACACATTCCTGTTGTTCACTACTTTAAGTTAATCAGTGTCTACATCTGTACTCCCTTCTCCAGTCAAACATTAAGATCTAAAAGCTGCAAATGACTCTACTTGCTCCTTTGTATTCGTCTACGTCAAGTGTATACGACAGCCTGTTCAAGTGTAAATGTTAATCAGGGTTACAGGAGCAGAAATCAGGTGCTTTATCACGGGACTCTATAAGCTAGCTTGTGATTTGTATTTTCAAAGAAACGCGAGGTCAGATGTTTAGTTTGACCTGAAGCCTGCTAGCTTTTAGCCAAGTGTAGCAACCAGCTAAACGGTGAGTTAAAGCGTCGCGGATTTAAAACTTGGACAGAGAAGACCTTAATCAACAGTTTTATAACACTTTGGTGAACTCACGTCGTCTGTTGTCCAGAGAGTTTTGTGGCCAAAATACTTCACAGTCCCCTCATCTGCTCTGTGATCTCTGCTCGGCTGCTGTTTGGGAACAGAACGTACACATCTACTGCGCATGTGCCGAACGAAAGCCCTCTTTTGATTGGTCCTTATGTTTCAAAGTTAACAGCGGGGATGTAAGTTCCTCCCCATACACCATAGACTGTAAGCTACTTCTTTTTTCAGTCTTTTCTTCACCTTTTGTCTCTAATTTAATGCTGTTGGAAAGGGTAAAAACTATCTATCTATCTATCTATCTATCTATCTATACTATATTGATTATATTACTTCATTACTAAATATATTAGTTAATTTTGGCAAAGGGTCCAAATAATGATGGTTTATGTTGCCATTTTTTATCTTAAAGCTTATTTACTTCTTGGAGCGCTGGTAGAGTATGGTTAGTGCATGCGCCCCATGTACGGAGGCTATAGATGTCCAAGCGGGCAGCCCTGGTTTGAATCCGACCGGTGGCTCCATTGCCTCATGTCATTCCCCACACATGTAACCTGTAACACAGTGTCCACCTAAATGCAAAATAAATCTTTAAAATAAGGCTAATTTACATCTGCAGTCCCTTGGTAATACATGAGGTTTACAAAACGTTCTGCGTTTTTCTTTTAATGTGATTTAAAGTGCAAGACCAGTCATAAATTACACTTTCATAAAACAACATATTTTATTTTTCTAATGAAAAGTGGTCAAAACCAAGGCTGCAAAGGCTATAAGCCTCCTTGTAAATTCTTGATTCTTTCAAATGCCATGGCTGCAGTTTGCAACACAAGGTTTTGGCCTAAGCTATGTGAAATTCAGAGTTTGAAAATGTTAAGAAGCAGAGGGAAAAAATATTCGTTGAGAAATAGGCAACAAATCAACTCTGTATAAGCACATACCCTGTGAGTCAGACTGTGAATCATTAAACTGCTTCAAAATATGTCAAAATCAGAGAAGTGCACCTGTAGCCAATTAGATAACGTTTGCAAAAGATCCACTGCTATTCATTTTTGCAGCAGATCTGGTATATGTTGGATAAAGAAATTCACACCATGTAATTGAAACCTCCCGCCCAAATGTTTACCCATGGGATCCAATTTTCAGACTTCACACTCTGTTTATATTTTGAGATCAATACTTTATAAGCACTGAGGAATTACAGGCTCTGATCTGGACCATACCTGTCAAATGTCACCTCTGTTGGAGAAAACAAAAAGAGAAGCAGGTGCGGGATATCTTAGTTTGTGTGTCCTCCTCCTCCAACATTCATTCAGCCTGTAGGATTCAGCCCACACCGCAATACAGCACTGCAGAAAACAACAGTTTTCCTCAAACCTCCCCTTGCAGCAATGACAGAAATCCTTTATCATTCACGCTTGCGAGTCATGCTGAGAGAGGTGTCAACCTTGACTGCAGAGTTACCTTGTGCACATGGAGGCAGAGGGACAGCTCTCATAATCGAGGGAATAAATTGAGGTGGAGAGGCAGCCCGTCCCAATCAATAAGGGTAATCTCAGTAACCCAGTCAATCAGCTCAGCAATCATTTCATCATCACATAGACTCACACCGAAAGGATTCAAGGATCTTACAGCATAGTTTCCTGGATGAAAAATATCACCTTGGATACTGATTGGCAACTCTTTAGCTCAACAGACATGCTGAAAACAGGACTCCATGGAGCTATGGTCTCTTTTTCTGATATTAAAACCACATCCCTAGAGACTGGCAGTAGCTTAAGCTTCTTCATTTATATGTAAAGGTGTCAGTTGATCTGATCAAATCCCACTAAATCCTTGGTTATAAATGCTACAGGTCATGCTGTCATGGTCATATCATGTCAAATAGAGTGAATGCTGCAAATACATGTGAATTTGTGAGTAATGACATTGTCCATTGTGAAAATTGTATTACATTATATTATATTCAAGGTTACTTTTTGCTTAAAGCTGTTTTTGTGAAATCATTGTTACAACTTTTTTTAAATCAAAATCAGCCTTGAGAAATGCGTTGACCGCAGCCATATTATCTTTTCACTAAACTACAAGCTTGGTGAAAATATTTGAAAGAAAATTACTCCAGTTACAATTCAATATGACGTCACATAGGCTTTTCAAACCCTTTAAAAAAAAGGTGAATCAATTCAGGTGAATGACTCACTCGAATAAATTCTGATTGAAATTCAGAACGTAACTTGGTTCAACCATCTCTCAGTGTTTTGTTTTTTTTCTTGTGCTTTGGCATCCAAAACTTGCATGTTTTTGTTTACAGCTTAACGATCCATTCACCGCAAACTTTGATCTATTTTAGGAAGCCATGGAAGCTCAGAGAAATGAGCTTGTGAGATTTGTGTCTTTATTGTCTTCACAGTGAATCAGCTAAATCTGGCAGTTTCCTGCAGCTGCACAACAACAGCAAGTTGTATCACTGACTAGGCCTACTTTAGATGCTGTTCATTTGATAGCTGAAAATACATCAGTGATGTGCAGCCTAAAAAAACTCAACTTATGAGAATGTGCTGTACAGTCCTATGTAGTTTAGAGAATCATTTAAACAAAAGAAGAAGATAAAACAACAGCTGTGTTTTCAAATGAAAGCCTTTGTCGGAAGTGAATAACATTTGGAGAGAAAACATTTCAAATGTCATCAGATCGGTGACGTAATTCTGCGTTTGCACTTTAAATTATATGTTTGTGTTAGAATTGCATGCATTTATTGTATAATGCATTGGGAGTGAAATAACAGATCCCTCGTATATAAATGCCACAGCGCACTTCCTGCGCAGATATCCAGTGACAGTCCCTGGCACTGATGTGGACAGTTTTAGACTTGCCTGGAGAACGCACAGTGGAGCCACAAGATGCGCACTGGGCGCTACAGCTTGGGAGGAGCTTCGGGATTTTTCCTCCTCGTTCCACTCGAGTGAAGACTCGTTTGCAAAGGAGATATAGTGGAAAAGGTGAGTCCAGTTATACGTGAATAGCTTTCCTTTAGACTTCAGTGACAAAAATGCATGTCTGAGGTTAAAATGATTTGAATTCTCTGTTATGTTTTGGAAGCGTAACTTATTGTTACTGGAAGTGTTGTACGTGCGTAATTTGGCTGTGAGAAGGACATTTGAAAAAGAGGTCGAACAAGTGTCCAGATTACGCAGAACAGGAGATGATCTGTGTTGGAGGTGAATGGTTTGCACCTGTCGATTTGGTTGATTGAGCTTGGAGAGCTTCTTGGAGATGATTGAAGGCGCACTATTCAGTAAGTTGATTAAATGGTTACAAATTACGCACATCAATGCAGCTTCGATTGGCAGTAAGGTATCTAGGCATAATTTAACGGCTGTGCGTACTGAGTATGGTGAAAGATTACACAAAGGCATAAGATCGCCTCAAGTCAAGTATTACCATCGCTGATCAGAAAATTGTGTTTGACATATTACTGATGCTTTGTAAGGTGCACATGTCGCCTGCAGTCTGTCTGATAAATCTCTGACTGTGTGCTCCTGTGTGTGGGGCTGCTCTGATGGCAGAGGGTGCAGGGATCGGCATGTTTTTGGTTTTATGGCAGTGCAACACTTGTTGTCATGACCACATTGTCCATATAGATTCAAAATGAACCTGTAAGTCATTTACAAGATGGGTGTATGTATATTCTGTGTGCCTGATACTTTAATCTCTCTCATAGGCTTCACACCTTGTATTTTACTTCATTTACTCAAATCTTCTGGACCATGGAAAGACTAAGTTCTGCTTTTAGTTGTTAAAATCACCCTCATCTATACTTATGGTTTGTTGTCTAGGCCTTTTGCTGCTTGACGCATTAAGAGAGAGAACAATATGACTCATGTCATAGATACATATTGCAATAAAAATCCACAACACTAGTGCAAATTTAAATGCACTCCATCTTCAAAGAAAACTTTCGGGGTTTACGTGAGCCAAAGAATAAGTGAAAGTCAATTCAGGTCTGTGAGTCCATAAAAAAAAAAAAAAACAAGTGTTGAGTGTTTAGCACCCACAAGTGAAATACTTTAAAACCAGAGTATCACTGATTTGGCTAAAGACTCTGGCTGCTTCCAGTGTCACTTAATTAAATTAGCATTCATCTGCTTAATGAGGTGTCAGAGCCTTGGCCGTCATTTAAGATTCAAGCACTAACAGTAGTTTTTATACGAGCAGCAACAAAATGTTTTCCCTGTATTCAACAGGAGTTGCAACCTCTCACAGGTACATAAAAAGATTTGAAAATGAGCTGCTGAGAGTATCCTGAACATAAAGGATTTCTTCCTGAAATCAACTTGTGCACCATGTCCCAGCACCAATCTTTGTGGCAGAAATAAGACATGCTTTGCAATATTCCCTTTATGAGATACAGACTGTGAAAGAGAGGAGTCTGCAGCTCTAATGATGTGGCTTTGAACCGACTGACTTTTCTTGATCACATTGCTACCGCCATCATTTTCCTTTTGCCTTTATAATGACACAAGTGTTCGTGAAAAACTGCAGGGTACGTGCACAAAATGTAAAACCAACGTAACCTAGCAGGCAATTGTACCAATGCCATGTGACAAAACTGTATTTTCTATAAAATTACCCCACAATGGAAATAAAGTCTATTTTGTCTGAGGATTTGAAGTTTTAGATGACTGAGTTTGAGTGCAAAAAGAGCTGAAATGTGTATTTCCTTTGCCAAGCTTGTCTAAACCAACATCTCCTCAATGCAATCTTAGGCAATTATTCTAATAATTAGACTGAATTCATTAGAGAATGTTAAAATCTTCTGAGCTGCACTGATTCATTACTCATGTTTAATACAGAATTTCTTATCAGCAGTATGACATTTACAATGAAAATTTCCAATTCAGTGTGACATGAATAGAATATGGAAATGGTTCAACATAAGTTCCATACAGTGGGATTTCATTTACATTTATCTATGCACAAACATATTGTGCAGCATAAAGAGAAGAACAAAATCTGATAGGAGATATTCAGGAGATCAAAATATTAGACCATGGGTTCAATTCCCACCAGCGCTAACTTCTGGATTGGTCGTGCGTTCAAGCATAAACAAGTGACAGCTTTTGCTGGTGTGAAACCAGTGAGGCATCATGTTTTGGTCCCTTCACCAAAACCCATAATGGTTGTTTGGGGTCAGACGTGGAGTGGGGAATATGAGAAACATCCTCCTGTGCTGAGAAGAAAAACGGGATGAAACCCTTTGAATTTGAAAGCGCAGTCAGCAGTGACAGGAGATGCAGATCAGGGGTATTAACAGGGGTAATAAATAAACTCCTCAAGCTTTTATTTTCAAATCATTACCTCTATCGTTTCTTTTCATACTTTAGTCGAAACACTGTCCTGCCTCGTTTGTGCCACAGAATGATTTTGTTTCATGTGATTTCTCTCCTCAGTTGTCGGCTCAGCTTTGATCTGGCATCTTCCGCGAAAATGAGCCCACCAGACACGTCCAACAGCACAGCCGAAGGGGAGGAGAGTGAAACCGATCCCTTAATTCTCCTCAACAACAGCATGGATTTCCATACACCTGGCTTTCACACTGACATCACAAAACACGTTGGAGTTCAGATCACATTAATCACAGCATATTCTCTCATCATTCTGCTGGGGCTGCTGGGGAATTCTCTTGTCATCTACATGATTATTCGCTACAGGAACATGCGAACTGTGACCAATTTCTTCATAGCTAACCTGGCCCTGGCAGACCTCCTGGTGAACACTCTCTGTTTGCCCTTCACTCTGATTTACACTCTGTTGGATGAGTGGAAGTTTGGGGCTGTGTTGTGCCACATGGTTCCCTTTGCCCAGGCCTTGAGTGTGCACGTATCCATCCTGACTCTGACAGTCATCGCTTTGGAGCGTTACCGCTGCATCGTCTTCCACCTTGGTCGGCGCTTGACTTGGCACTCCAGCTTCCTCATCATGGCCTTCACCTGGACTACCTCTGCTGTTCTGGCAGCACCCTTGGCCATCTTCAGAGAGTACCGCCATGAACAGATCCTGTCTATCAATATGGATTTTGCGGTTTGTTCAGAGAAGTGGCCCAATGGTTCCAGTAGTGATGGGGTCATCTACAGCCTCTTCATGCTGCTCCTACAATACATTATCCCTTTGGCCATCATAAGCTACGCTTACATCTGCATCTGGGTCAAACTGAAGAACCATATCAGCCCGTCCAGCCGCAATGACAGCATCAACCGCCGCAAAAAGACCACCAAGATGTTGGCGCTGGTGGTGGTGGTGTTTGCTATCTGCTGGCTGCCATTCCACGTGTTTCAGCTGGCCAGCGATCTGGACCTGGTGCTAAGGCTAAAAGAGTACAAACTGATATACACAGTGTTTCACATCATAGCTATGTGTTCAACTTTTGCCAACCCTTTCCTCTATGGGTGGATGAATAAAAACTACAGGACTGGCTTCCTCATGGTCTTTCGTTGTGAGGATAAGCCGGATTCTTTCCACCCAGAGGGCTCATTCAGGACTCGCTCAATAAGAGGTCTGACTCTGAATGGTCGCAATGGTGGACATCCTCCAACTGCTGTGTGAGATTAGCACCTTTGAAAAAGCCTATTTATGACTGAACACATTGAAAGCACTTTCACGTTTGTGGTGCCTGTGATACTATGTAGCCTTTTGACTTGAATGGTCTGAGCTTGAGTATCTTTGTCACTGAAGAAGACATCAAGGTTTGCATGCAAATCGTTTAATGTAAGGCTTGTCCCTTCTTTGTAAATGGTACTTGTGAGAAATCAGTGGTTTAACCTATTGAAATATGTGTTTAAATGTTTTCTATGTTGTTATTTAACTTGCTCAGATGTATAATGTGTTTCCTGTAACTGCAGAATTATTGTTGGTATATGTAAAGGTCCAGTTAATTGTACTATCGATTGCATATACTTAGACCATTAATGTGTTCATATAATGCAGGGAAAAGAGACTTTATTGGTATAGTATTTTTCATACTTGTTTTTCCATTTGTTGGCTGTCCAGAACTTTTGGATGAGTTTTGTTTAATTAATCCAATTACTGCCTTTTGGATGCATTCATTCAATCTTCATCTAAAGAATCCAGATAAGGCTGTCCATGATTTTTTTTCCATCAAAGGAATAAACGGCTCCAACCTGTCAATCAGCTGTTCCTGATTAAATGGACCAGCAGGCCTCTGTGTCCAAAGATATGGGGCTAAAAACCACTGAACTTCATAAAGTAAAAGGAACACGTTACTAATATCTTCACAGCTTTGAGGATACTTAACAAGGATATTTGTTTAATAATGAACACGGGAACATTGTAGAGACATAATCCATGACTTTACCTCACGTTTCTCCAACAGTTTATTTGACCTTCAGGAAAAACTAGTTTTTTGAGCCTCCATGCCGAATAAAAGGACATTGGCTTGGAACGAAAATAAGTATACAGCAAGGTATGTGCGACAAGGTCATTCCAAAATGATACTGAACTCAGCTACCATTATGTTGATTTAACAAATTGAGTTAGCAGACAAGTGCATCCACCCCTGTTGTTGTAACAGAGGAAAGATAAAACCTCAATTTGACAGTTGCACCATCTACATAGAGAAGGGAAGATATCCTACTTAATAATGAGGGAATGCAGACACAAAGAGGTTCATCAAAGTCATACACCCAAATCTTCCAAATGTCATCCAATAAAGCATTTAACACACAAGTTATCTGCATAGTGAGACTGATTTTTTTTTAGTTGAAAAAATGTGAATATGGTTTATAATGCTGATTCTTGACACCCACACTGTTGAATTCCTGTCTCAGCATTGGATGGCAATGGGTTCCCATAGAAGCTCTGAGCCTTTATCAGGACTACCAGCAGACTAAATGAGATTAGCCCCTTGGCACTGAACCTATGGCTAAGAGCTAATGCATGAAGAATTTGCTCCTAACCAGATTTTTCAGGCATTATTTCACTATGCTGAAGAGATTATCCATGTCCCTCAATAAAGCTTGCTGAAAGGGTGTTCTTTAAAAAAAAAAAAAAGAAAAGACAAGGTCAGATTAACCTTAATATTTCTGTAAGGTCCCAGTTTTACAAAGGGATTAACCGATGTCACTTTTGGTTGTTTTGACAATATCAAAAGAAAACTCTAACTCTGAGGTTTCGTATCAAGAACTTTGAAATATGGTTTGACATTTTGCATAGTCCCCTGCTGCCCTCTAGTGTTCAAACTAGACAACGCATCTGAACAACCGGATATGACGTCAATCTGTGACCTTCTCTCTCGCTCTAGGCCGAGTCACGTTTGACATGATTTGTTGGTGGCTGCATGGCTGAAGTTCATCACGGCTGGAGAATAAGATGCAGGAACGTATTCTGTGATTTTTGTCGTCACACAGGTAAGACTGTCTACCTCTAAAATCCCCGATATGCTTTTTGAATGTGGGTCAGATACATTTCTGGGTCATGCAGTCCATTCATTCATGGGGTTCACTTTATGCTAGGTTAGCTTATGCTATCGAGGAAGTGCGGACGTGACTAACGTGACTAACGTGACTAACCTTATATGTGATGTGAAACACTTTAGGATTACAATTAGGAATGTGTGCTGATAGTTTTAGTTTAATAGATTATCCCGTAGACTTTTAATTAGTCACGTACACTTTTATCTGCCTGACAGCTGTCATGTAGTGTTCATGTTAGTCTACTTCCTGGTAATGGCAATAGCCTTTTATGAAGTGTAAAAAGTATTCCAAAAAAACCCTATAATCCTACATGTCATGCTTTTTTAATTGCTTGCCTTACCCAGTGACTGAAACATGAACTGCCCCATTAATGGAAATGCCATACAAGTGACTTACTGTGTGTTTACAAAGAGCAAACACAGCGGTAACTATTCTCCTGCATTTGAGCAAACTGTCTGGTTTGTTCTGTGTTTCTGCAGGGTATTGCCTCAGTAAACACACGGAACAATGGTGAAGTATTACTGCTGCGCAGGTTTGCTCAAAAGCACCTGGGACCAAGTGTGTGTTGCTTTTTGGCAACGCTACCCCAACCCTTACAGGTAAGGTTCAATTTCATCTCTTTATCATGTCCTCCACAAGCACTTCTCAACCACCACCCTTGCACACACATCATTGGATTCATGGTTTTCTCAGCATGTGTATGTTGAGAAGAAATCGCGTTGGTACAGTTTTGAGGTATTTTAAATGTTACTGTTAGTAGATTTTCGACCCCAATGCAGATTTAGGTGATGTGTTTTTTTCCATAGAGTTTATGTGGTGGTGAAAATAGACTGAGAATAAAGTATAACAAGGTGACATAACTCTGTGCTTTAAACACTTAATGCAAATTAATTCATTGCAGATATGTTTTGCAGAGTGAAAAACTACACCTATTGGCAATATATCTAACCTATTAAGTTTTTATGAATGCGATTATATCCAGCTGAAATGATTGTCCAAATAATGCAAACATATGTAATTACAAGCTACCTTATATGACATTCAACTTGAACTAGAGCCTGCAAGCTCGCTGTTGCAGTACGCTGCCAAACATTGCCACAAAAGTATCTTGGCATTACAGTTACATGATCATTTTGAAAGCGTCACGGGTAGAGAATCACAGAAATGTACGATCCACCTATCGCTCTTCCATCTTACTTACTAACTAGAGTTCAGTTACTGATCCACTTATCTTTTTAAGGAAATGCACTGAAAGAAAAAATACTTTGAAAGTTCCCACGTAGAAAGTTCTTACACTACCTTGTCATGACGTGTGTTCTCTAAAGCTGCAAACAAAATGTTTTGTTGTCATTGTAGTAATTCTATAGCCAGTCATATGGGAGAAAAAAAATCTACATTGCTAAATATGTGCAGAGTGAAGTGTTCCCTGATGACGCAAGAGATCTTGATTTAACCCCAGGTAATAGCAATCTAATAACATAATAGTTTGATACAGTTCTGTTCTCAATGCTTAATTTAATAGTAATACTTCCATTTGATGCAGAGACCCTTCTTCCCATTATCTGACATTGTGTTGACCAAACAATAATATTTACTGAAATGTTTTTTTTAAGTACATTCTGTTAGTAAGTATATTTAACTGTATGTATTGTTTAAAAAGGTTGCAGACTTACCCAGATATATTAAATGTGTTTTGATCCATAACTTTCCTTCTGTCCCACAGTAACCATGTTTTGACGGAGGATATCATTTTCCGGGAGGTCACCCCAACAAACTGCCTAATTTCCCGACGTCTGTTGACCAAAACGAGCCGAGCACCTCGCTGGATGGAGCGATACCTTCCAAAGCAAATGGCCAGCTCAGCGTACATCATCGAGGACTCTATTGTGGACCCCAAGAGACGGACCATGACCACACTGACATGGAACATCAGCCACGCTCGCCTCATGGTACCAAAGCGTTTGCACACACACACACACACACACACACACATCAATGCACAGAGTAACAACACAACCTTATGTTGCCTTTGTTTTTCCCTCTGTGTTTCAGTCGGTGGAGGAGCGATGTGAGTACCGAATTAACCCTGAGAATGGCGGCTGGACAGAGATTAAAAGAGAAGCTTGGATCTCCTCCTGTGTGTACGGACTGACTAGAGCTGTTCAGGTCAGTAGAGTAAAGAGGAGGAGGACACTATGTAGCAGCCCGGGGAAAGTGGTGCGCAGCGTCTGAAAGGGAGACTTTAATTCTGTAATTGGAAACATAATACACAGTGTTAAGATGCAACAGCAGGAGTTGAAGCTGTTTGCCCAAATAGTTTTTTCCTTGAATGAGTTATGACATGAGTGTGAGAGGGCTTTTATTGTTGTCCAGCTCTGAGAACATGTGTTAGTAAATATGTGACGGCTTGAGTTACAGGATGTCACCATCAGACTTTGTGTCTTGTCTTTCCAGGAATTTGGCCTTGCAAGGTTCAAAACCAGTGTGACAAAGACCATGAAGGGCTTTGAGTATGTGCTGGCCAAAATGCAAGGTAAGTGGTCAAGACTAAAGACATTTGTACTTGCATAACTTCGATAAAAGCCTTTTTGAATTGATGTTTAGACGAGTCAAATGATCTGCAGTGAAAAAAGAACAATAACAAAGCATCATTCATCCTAGCATGGGTAAGATTAGCAGATGTTAAAGTGGACAGCAGTTTGAGGGGATTATGGGGAAAAAGTGACTCCTTATTATTAAGAGTGGATCTTAGGAAAGTTAAACTTGAATAACAAAGTTCATGGTGGAATGGATTGGACCACTGCTCTCTCTGTTCAGAACATGTAAGATGACTTCTTCTATAAGTATTGTTGTTTATGACAAAAAATGTAAAATGACTGTTTATTAGAAAGCAGAAGTAATCACTTATAGGCTTTACCATATTTTTTAAAAATTATAACTATGAAGTTTAATTTTTGTTAAAGCTGTCAAATCTTAAATACAACTTTTTAGTCTCTGTCAGGGATCGAACAAGATATCAAATTCATGAACACCTACACACCCTAAAGATATTGATGATGGGTATGATGATGATGGTTTTGTTTGTTAATGATGGTTTTGTTTGTTAATGATGGTTTTGATGCTGTTTAGAACTCTAGAACAGCTGTTGATGTTGTGCTTTGCCTCTGCACTGCCTGTCGACCCCTGTGTGTCCGATCAGACTTAAAACTGTTTCCTCCTCTAGATCCTTACTTGTGTTGTTCTTAATCTCTGATGTATGTCGCTTTGGATAAAAGCATCTGCTAAATGGATTGTAGAATTGAAGAAAATACACATGGTGTTTGTCTAAGTCCGATATTACTTGAATAAAACTATATTAAAGTAATATATTTGAATTGTTTGGGATTTCCAGTGCATCTGTTTACGGTATATCTGAAGTAGTGATGATTTGTTGCAGCAAATCAGAGTGTATGATTAACAAAAAAAAAAAAATATATATATATATATATATATATACTGTAAGTGTTTGATAAGTAATTCTGAACTTTAAATTGATCGTTTTTTCTAGAACAACATGAATCTATTTATGCTGACATTGTAACACACTGTTGTCTTCTGTAGGTGAGACTCCATCAAGAACTTTGGCTGAAACTGCTACAGAGCGAGCGAGAGAGACGGCGCTGGCAGCTAAGGAGAAAGCCAAAGATCTTGCCTCACATGCCCAGAAGAAGCAATACGTGTGATGAGAAATATGCATACATCATCAGTTATTTACAACTGATACTGGGACACGTTTATCTTCACCCCCCTGACCGCTGGGGCTAAGACAAACTGGTCCCAGTAATGGGGAGATGCCTCTATGAGGAAGCTTCCAACTTAAATGGTGGGTGGACCATAAAAGGCTTGAGCTGGTCTAAGAGCCTCTTTCAGTCTCCTTGTTTGCCTCATGTTGAATATGTTTGACCTTTTCTACCAGATCATCTCAGTGTTTACCAGAGATAGTGATAGAGGAAGCAATAGTTGATTGTGGCTCCGGGTGCCATAAAATGATCACAGCACTTTGCCAAGCTCGATGCTTTCCACTCAGACCTTTGCTCAACCTCTGTGCCCATCAGCGTTAGCTTTTTACTCTGTTCCTTTGAGTATGTCGTGTTTTGTAATAGCTTTGTATTATTACCAGCTGAAACTAGCATACCACACGATATGTGATTAATCTTAATCCAGGTGTACGATTTACTCCGTTCTATGTTTTGTTGCTTAATGTAAATTCACCCAACCACACCTTAATAATCCTACCAAGACTGATTGCTTCAAGTTGAAGTGTATTGACTGAAAAGGGGTCCTTATTGTTGGCAGTCAGCTATAAGAAGAACATACTCATTGAGCTCTTTTGAATGGTGATACAGTCTGGTCATAATGCATTTAAGCATCTTTTCCACACATACAATGACACCTTGTATTGTACAATTATTGTAAGTCCAGTGATACACCCAACAAGAAATGTGCTCTTACTGAATCAAATAAAAGCAGCTTGTCAACAAACTGACTGATTCAATTCTAACCATCATCTTGTGATGTTTTTGAACACTTAGCGGTTCCAGGAAAGAACATTGTTTATCATGCTTACCCTAGTAGATATTTTTGCATAGATCTAATCTTCGCAGGCGGCTGTTTCTAATTCCTGCTGGATTTCTTCCCCAGCATGTTACTGATTTAAAGAGCCTAGACCTGATGGTCAGTCAGTCAGTCAACCTGTTCTGTTAACTACTGCATGGTCTTACAAATACAAACACATACTGGGTTGTGCAGCTGCACATATTGTGGTTATAAGTGATTGCAAATAACGAGTCAAAACTGCTCTAGTCCTACAAGGCCAATCCCCAGTCTCTGTACTTTCACTCTTCTATCCCCTGAAAAGGGAGCTCTTTGGAGTTGCTGTTAAAACTTTCCTTGGTGGCTCTCAACTTGGGGTCAAGACAACTCCAAGGGGTAGCAGAACATACATGAGGAGGTACAAGATGATAAAAAAAGGGGGGGGGGGGAAATAAGATACTTTAAATGAGCTGAGACTTTTTATGACCTTATTACATAACTATATAGTTTCAGACAGCTGAAATTTGTCTGGAGGATATACAAGTATAGCTGGTGATTAAAAAAAAGATATGGAGTATTGTTGAGTTTAATTGAAACCATCAGGTCTTATAAAATGATCAGGAACAACATATAAATATAGAAAATATTTATTCAATAAAAAAAGCTTACACCAGTACAAAAATGCTACATAATATTACTGGGCGGAGAGACAGATGAATGCATACATAAGAATAAATGATAATAGGGCATCTTGCATATACAAAGTGAAGAAAGAAGCACCTCCTGTTATTAAATAGATTTCAGTAAATATGATACACACTTGTAAAACAGCTGACTTTGCTCAGTTATTAAGTATACATTACCTGCCTGACGTTTGCTGCATGCATAATTGACATTGATGCTGACAGTGCTTGAGCAATGATGTGAACAGCTGCGATGTACTAAAATATCTTTAATACTAGGCATCGGAATCCTTGCACTTACAGACTGAAGTGTGTACAAATGCACCTAATGAACACGCGGTACGGTTATTTAGTTGCCAGTTAAAAATGTGCAAATATGACCAGTTCATTTCTGTTCACGGTTTCATTTTGATATTCATCCACAATCCTTCAGAATAAAAAAAACAAGTGCAATGTGAGGACGTTTTGTGCAACAGAAGATAAAGATCAAAACAAATGGCTGACCTTAAATAAAAGTACAATACAAAAAAATAGAACCGATGTATGTTCAAGTGCATGCTACACATGACATGACTGAAAAATAAACTGTGTGCTAAGGAAATGCTGTATTGAATAAAAAGAGATCTGATTTAAGGCAGAATTCAGTATAGATATAATGAAGTCAAGAATAAGTTAAGAATATTGAATAAAAAGCACTTATTTGGATTTTTTTTTTTTTTTTTTAAAAGCTCCTTAAGATTAAGGAGCAGACATTTTCAATCATTCAAAGTTACAGACGTCTCATGTCCTTTAAAGAAATGCTAATGCTTGCCAGAAAATATAAATGCATAAAGTTACATCCATCCCAGCCCAGTGATTTTTACTGCTTATCAGTGCAAATGGACTCATTCATAATAGCATCATTTAGCTTGTAGTCTGACATAAACTGAAGAAAAGACACCAAAGTTACTCCTGTAAAAATACAAAATGTTCAGTTGTATGGTAACCTCTTTCTACATCCTTCTCCTCTGTCTGCTTGTTTTTGGAATGTTTTCTCCTCCTTCTGTTCCTTGGGTGACATAATGCGAGTTACCGTTTCACTGCCGTCATAGCCAGGCTTTATCCATGCTGGAGTAACAGTGGTCTGAATCAGTGTGTGTCATGCTCAGTCCGTCAGAGTCCATGCAGTCAAACACGATGCTCTCCACATCAACCTCCACATCCTCTGTAAACAAACAAAGGTCACATCCATTAGTAGAAAAATGACAACATTAATATCACAGTTAATAGAAGAAGAAAAAAACTAGCCAGGGTTATATGATAGCTTTAACATTCAGGGCTAATGATATAACATTAACATGATGATATCTTCTTTGTTCTCTTACTTGATTTTGTATTTTCTACTTCAAATAATAAAGACCAGAATAAGGGTGGGAAAAAAAAAATCATCTTTTTAAAAAAGCAATACCAATGCTACCAATACCAGTAACTGCAATGGCTTCATGTACAGCCTAAAATGTTGACTTCAGTTATCCGGCTAGTATGCCATTCAATTCACAGATATGATATTTGATATTTATCCAATTACCCTCACTAAACATAAACTGGTTTCAGGTACATTATTACTATGTCAGTATAACAACAACAACAACAACAACAACAACAAAACAGTGTGGTGCTTGTAGAGACTGTAGTGTTTCAATCAGTGTTTTTCAACCGATCTTGAGTGTATGGTGTAATTGCACTTATATCCGAGGGAGTCTTGGTATCGACCAATACTCCAGTCTAGGTATTGAAAACGTCTGTTCAGAAAATGCTTTTGGAATATCTGTACTTACTGAAGCAAAAGCTGTTATTTTTTTTTTAGATATATCAATGCAATGCAACTATGCTGAGGTGAGACTCTCTTCTTGTGCCTGAGGCCTACCTCTATCAGAGTCGGACCTCTCAGAAGACATGGTCGACCCCTGGCTGTTGTTTCTCATCCTCTCTGTGCCTCTCTGCAGCTGCTCCAATCGAACCTGCAGCTCTCTCTGCTCCCAGCGAAGGCGGCCCTTCACCTGCTCTGCACACTCATCCTGCTCCTGCAGCTTCTGAAAAGAGGAAGCAGTAAGAGAGACATGCGAGCAGTCAGTAAAAAAATTATTTGTAGGCCAACATGCATAGCCGATGCAAAATAAATGTTTTTTTTTTTTTAAAGGCAGATAACGGGACATGCTTTTTTTGAGAGTGAAACATCCTGTGGATTCAACAGAACAGGGAAAACATTATCAGTGTTGACAATCAACCAGGACTTCTGCCAGTCGTCTCTACCTTTATGTGAAGCTGGGCTCGTCTCAGTAGATTGAGGGTGGTGTTCCTCATCGAGTCAGACGACAGAGGGACTTGCTTCTTGAGCTGCTCCAGGCAGAACCTCAACTGAGCCCTTCTGCAAAGCACAATAAAAAGCAAAAACTTGTGGTTTTGATACGTGCAAGTGAAAACAGTAGCTCAACATTATTGCCAATTACAGTAGGAACAACTGGCTTTGGAAATTTTAGAATACTTATAGTGACAAAAATTCCCCATTACCTGTTTTTCTCCAGCTCATTGTGAACTGACCTGCAGAAACAAAGATAAATTGTTTTTAGTTCTGAAATGGTTTCATGACAATAGCTTGCTGCTGAGCACTGTGTTATCACAACTGAGTCAAGTACTACAGAAACTACACAACCACGCCCTCTTGTCAGTTATGTAATGCAATCACCTATTGCCACCAGCAGATATCTTTTTGCTCTTCTGTTTGCTCCTCTTATCGGAGTAATCTGGACTGAGAGGCAGGACTGAGGCGTATCCATGTTCTGCCTCTGTGTAGGAAAACAAATCAAAAAGAAAATATTTTAGAAAAAACTCTTAAATGCAATGGTATGTAGTGTCATATAAAGTTTCACTTTGTGAGAATTAGTGATCCCTGGTGCTAGGAGTATATAACATGCTATATTAAATCTACTACGGTCTGTGACAGGCGTTGAAAAAGAGCATTGATTGCTGTCATCAGCATCACCATCAGCTGGAGGGTCTGTTTTTGGCGCCATCACACACTACATATCCACTGTCTTACAGCCACTTTCTGTAAACTGGCGAACAGAAATAACCAGTACAGTGTCTAAAGTATCTGTATATAGACTTTAATGTGTAGTATTGCCCTTTTCTAGCTCTATTTCATTCATCGTTAGAAGCGCTCACCGCCGCTCAGATTCATTTTCAAATTGGACCAGATTGGCGCCTTTGAGTACAAAGATGCGGCCGATATGTAGGTCACTGAATCAAATTGTAAAGATCGACTAAATAACCTTTGGGTAAGAATCTCGATTGTTTCACACAGAACTGCATTAGATCAGATTCCTGTATCGTGTTTTGCATGCATAGATGCTGTTGGTTCATTGTGCATTCTGTTGTTTTAACAATAACCAACTTCCTCCCCTGTAGACTAACAATTTGTCCCAAAATACTTACCCCGCTCTCTTCTTTCGAGAAACTCCGCAGCCCGAAGAAGCACCTGGATGTTGCAAATGTTTCCTTCCATTATTATTTTTTTGTTAAAATACAACAAAAGCGGGTAAACAACCTACTATGGCGCAAAGCGTCAGTAGCCTGAAGTAGCTGAAGCTGTGTCTGTGCTACGTCCTCAAGCCACTCAAGTCCCAACACTGCAGCTGCGTTCAGGTCCTCACGTAGGCTCAGACATTTCCGACTTTCGCAACAAATACAACCATCCCTGTTGATGAGAGAAACGATCGTCTTTAAATACGGCATAAACAGCAATTATATGGGAGAAATACTACTATAAATATAAATATATATATTTTTTTTAAACCTTTTTTGTTATTCTGTTAAGTTTGAAATGTACCCTTTACATACTGTTCGGCTGGGAATGTTTTGCCATATGCCTAATTTAAAATAATGATAAAGTAAAACAGTGACCCATACCAGACATGTATAAAGAACACTAAGTAATATAAACAATACAAACAAAAATAGCTTTTCCTCTCTGTAACTGGTAAATCGGTATGGTACATAAAGGCGTAGTTTCAATTTCCAGGTTCTTTAAATGCAACAACAGAAAACGAAAAACGTCATTGTCAAGCCCCCATCCCCTCTCACGGAACCTTTATTTTTCTGACATTTTATATCGATAAGTAACGACACTGACATGTGTTAAAGCACATTTTTAAAACGTCAATAGAACAGCAGTAGAAACACACTTTGTATGAGCTGATGGTCTGTCGGCTCGCTCTGCAAAGTTTC